CTTGTCCTTTAATTGAAATCTCAGTGCTAGGACATGCCTCTCCCAGTCCCTGATAGTTACCTTGTCTGGGACAAAGTGGTTCAGCCCCAGCCCATACGTATATGTGTAAGGTTTCCCACAGTACTTCTTGTAATTGATCTGTGGAAATTCAAAGGCTGCAATAAAGAAGAATATACACACACACATGAGGACTAGTGGGATGTGGAGTGCAGGAGGTGCTTGTGTTGCTGCTTCAGGGTCAGTGCCATACCGTGGCGTGGCCCTGAGAAAATGACTTCTGGCTCCAACCAGATGGTCTCATCACTGCGCAAGGTGGCTGTGGCTGTGGTGTAGGGCAGGGTGACCAAGTTCTTACCCGTGTTGGCCTGGCAGAAAGGAAAACACCCAAGAGAAATAATGGAGAAATACATTTCTTACTCTATTTGCACAGATGTGTTGTAAGCTGCGTTGGAGGGTGAAGGCAGCGGTGTGCAGCAGAGCCTCATCAAGCTGCAGAATGGCAGTGTGCTTGGGATTGCCTGCTTCTTCCATTCCAGAGAATCCTAGAGTGATTTAGGTTGGAAGGGACTTTGAAGCTCATCCAGTTCCAACCCCCTGCACGGGCAGGGACACCTTCCACTAGTTAATCCACCAGGATTAAGTGCTGCCCCACAGTCTCAGCTTTGACCAGTAACGTATGGGAAATAAAACAGAATAACATTAAGCAGCTAAAGAAAACGAAAGTGTTCTCTGAAGACCCACACTTTAAGCTCCCCCCTCGCCCTTTAAAGGTTTAATTTGGATTAAGGGGGTCATGCAGAGCACCAGCATTGCTCAGCCATCAGCCCTGCAGGGAGCAGTGCAGACCTTGTCGATGGTGAGGGGCAGGACGTATCTGCGCGCCTCCGGCTGCGGGGCCTTCTCCGCCTGGCGTTTCACTTCATCCCAGTTTGCCCGTAAGTTGGCCAAGTAGAGGTAGTTGTAGACAAACTCGAACCTGCAGACAAACAGCATCACAGACACATCCAAGATGGGATTTGCAGGTGTCAGGGGGATAAAGTGCACTTTTCTTCCTCCTAAAATTCATTTGCCAACTGGTTTTTGGAGCAGCCACAGTGCTGCTCCTGAATCCTCTCCTCCGCTTTCCCATTCCATGCACAAGATCCATGTGCTTCAGCAAGCTGAAGGTGCTCTTTTTCTTTGGCAGCCAAGACAACCTTGAACCTCTCTTTGCCACCCTTTGCATGTAGTTTTCCATCAAAACCATTTAAGCAAGACCCACACCTCGTGCCTGTGCCCAAACCTGCACAAGCCTGTGAGATCAAGGCATTGCAGCTTATCCAGCTTACCAGGACCGTGCCCTTGGGGATTTCTAAACCCACAAGGTGCTACAATGGTAAACTCTGGATGAGCTTTAAGGTCTCTTCCAACCCAAACTATTTTAGGATTCTATGGTTATGTGCAGGGGGTCAGTGTGGGTTCCAGAGTGATCCCAACAGAGATGTACCCATGCAGGGACTGGTGTGCCTGATGATGGGGCTCTGCTGGTCCCCACCAGCTCACGCAGGGGTGAGAGTGATGCCACAGGGACCCTCAGCATCAGCAAGACTCACCCCTTCCAGGTGCAGAGGTCAACGATCAGAAACCCATTATCTTCATAGGTGTTGATGTGGTGGAAGAGGTTGAAGGCTGAGGTGCGGTATTTGATGTTCAGGAGTCTGCCTTTCTTCTTCTCTGCCACATGAAGCCAGACCTGAAGAACAAGCAGCAGCTTGGATTTGGCTCAGAGCAGCTTGGTGAAACCAGTACAATGGGCCTCCCAGCCCAGAGCTGGCTGCCCAGTACAGCCCAGTTTGGTACAACCTGCTGCTTACCCCCATGGTCTCATTGGACTCAAAGCAGTCCATGTAGTTGGCTCCCCAGAGGCTCCATGAGGAAAGGAACTTGAAGAGGTTGATTTTCACTGGTGTTTCAACAAACACTATGTAGTTTGCTGTCAGCCCAAAGCTGTTTGGAAATGCACAGGGAGCACTTTAAGCTCATGGTAGTTAGTTTAGACAAAAAACACCTAGTAGTGCACGCTGACCCTGGGACACGTTACCTGTGAACGTAGGAGGGCTTGAACCTGTCACTGCAAGGGAACTGCACCACCACCTCTGACTTATTTATTGGATCTTCCTTGTCTGGAACAGGACAGTCAAAGGGTTAGGGGGTGATTCACCCTACTTAGTCTGTATTTAGAATGTTTAACCAGCAAGGTTTTGCCTTTAACACAAAGGAAGTTCATGGGAAAGGCAGGTAGTAACAAGACAAGGGGGAATGGCTTTAACCTGCCCGAGGGGAGACTGAGATGAGCTCTGAGGCAGAAGCTCTTCCCTGTGAGGGTGCTGAGGCGCTGGCACAGGGTGCCCAGAGAAGCTGAGGCTGCCCCATCCCTGGCAGTGTTCAAGGCCAGGTTGGACACAGGGGCTTGGAGCAACCTGCTCTAGTGGAAGGTGTCCCTGCCCATGGCAGGGGTTGGGACTGGATGAACTTTAAGAGCCCTTCAACCCAAACCACTCCGTGACTTCATGATTCTGTGATTTAGAAACCACTCTGAGGTGTGTTAAAGATCACATTTCTGTTACTTAAAAAGGCAAATAAAAGTCTAAACAGGATTTAAAACAAGTAATTTGATGACAAAGCTAATCTGAAGGATAAAAAAGTGATACCTAGGACAAGATTGTCTCCATTCACTCAGAGGTGGGGTGAACTGACCTGCCTGAAGTGGAGGGATCCGTATGATGTTATAGGCGAGAGCAAAGTTTTTTCCAAAGCAATTCCCAATGTTGTAAACGGTCCCATCGTTCTCGATGTGGGGATGAGCTGTTGCCCCATTGACGGATATGTATTTACAGAGATCCACCTGAGGAACAAGGTGGAGGAAGTCAGGAGCTTTCCTGGCAGGAGATGGGAAGTTGCCAGCTCTGCGAGATCTATACATCTTTGCTTCAGATGTGGGAAGTTCTTCTCTAAGCCCAAATTGCTGTTCATTTTGTGAAAAGAACAGCAGCAAAGCCAAGCAATTCACACTGTTGCAGGGAGAGGTTTGGGATGCTGGGGTCTGAAAGGCTCCACAGGCTGGACATTGGTGACACAGCAAAAAAACCATCAAAGCACAGATTCTGCCTTC